ATGTTCAAGACAGGCTCAGCATAGGCATTAACAATCATCTGTATCTACTACTTTGTTCCCACCTTTGACACAGACATCACTCTCCTCAGCACCAGTCCGGGCACCATCTAGTGCTAAAGCACAGTGCCCTTGCTCTCTCTAAGGAGCTGCTTTCTCGCTCAGCAGTAGAAGCCAGGACACCTGGGTGGGGACTGCACGTCCATGCTGGTTTTTTCTGCCATACACTGAAGCCATTTGTGAGGAGACCAACAATCATGCAGCTTTCAGGGAGACGCATAGCATTTATACAGATCCAAATCTCATCACTGTTGGGCAAGGTTTTAGCTGTTTTTCAAGATTGCCATAAGGGAAGGAACAGCTATGTGGCCACCACAGATCCCCATGCTTCTCTTTGGAAGTTTTGCGTAAGAAAACTCTAAGCACTGGTAACAGGTCAAAGTCCTTAAGGAGCTGTCATCCACCTGTTGAAGGCTGCAATCTCAATCTTGAATGTCTGTTCTGATTATTAACACTAAAGTTGGTAGGCAAGGATCTGAGGATCAGGATAAGACAAAAATGGTTCAGCAAGAAGAAAGAACATGGCCACAATGGCTTGCAGCAGGCCCATTACATCTTGGACAAAGCTTCTAAAGAAGTCAAGTAATCTGATCATTCCAACAAGGTTTCAGGTAGAAGGCAGTTGCCTCTTATCACTCAGAAGTTAGGGGAAAATACCTTTTTCTTCATATTGTTTATCTCCAGTTGTGACCACTGAAGCCATGTAGTCCAATTCTTCCCCCTTTTCTGCAGGTAACAAGGAATTTTTCTTAAAATTCTGCGTAAGCAGATCAGTTACTACAGGCAGCCTGCTCTAGGTGACCCTGCTTCGGCAGGAGGGTTGGACTAGATGACAGACAGAGGTTCCCTTCCAACCCCTAACATTCTGTGATTCTGTGAAAATAAAAAAGCAGCTGTTCTTTACTCCGTGTTCAAATTCTTAGGCCTGCTAGAGTGGATAGTTCCTTAGTAAGCTCAAAACTTGAGAAGGTAAACCTGTTAAGTTTCTAATGCCCATACTCAGCTCCAAAAGACACAAATTATAATTCAAGCGGTATCATATTCTGCAACACAGGCCTGAGTGTGGATCAATGTGCCACTTTCCTCAAAAATCAATGTACAAAAGGGCAGTTCTGTCCAGATCATATTAAGACATCCATGCTTTGCAGGACACAGGAATTTCAGTAGACACAGATGAAAATTTAATAGCAAACTTTTCCTTATAATACTCCTTACCTATCTGTGCTCAGCCTACAGCCTACTAACAGTCTCACTGCGGGTGCATGCACATCATGTCCCTGACCATTGACTTTTCCACATCTCACAAACAGTACTGGAGATGTCAATATCCAGTAGCTGAGAGCTCTTACCTCCTATACAAACATCATTCTTCTGGCCTGTAGTACAGGGCTGTTTGGTAAAGGTGGTATGGTCTAATTACCAACAGAAATTTTAATAGGGTGGAAGACTTCTACCTTTCATTCTCAAATCTTGAGCATAATTCAGGATGAACTTCAGGATCCCGCGTGG